TCCGGGTCGTCTGGGCGGCGGGGTCGGCCGGGGGCGGGCGCGGGCGGGGGTGGGTGCCCGTCCGGCGGCAGCTTCTCTCCCTGCTTGATCGTGTGTCGGTGAGGGGTGTGACAGAGAAATGGCAGCTGAGCGCCGCGCAGCCACGGAGCGCCGCATTGCGGCGTTGGAGGAGGGTCAGAGCCGCCACACCGAGCAGATCTTCCGCCTTCGGAACGAGGTCAGCCGAGTGCTGAAAAGCACAAGTGTGGTGCTAGAGGGATTCCCCTCGGTGGACTCGGTGTGGGAGGCGCACGGGAACCAGGGAGAGTACCGTGAGTTGCGCAACCTGACGCCGGAGGCTGTTGGCCGGGACCTGGGGGCTCACCTGGGGCTGAGCTGGCCCTTGCCGGATCGCGCGTCGGACCAGCCCGGGTCCACCCAGCAGGCGGTTCGCTTCCTCTGTGAGGAATTGAGCAAGCCAGGGGTGCTTCAGAAGGTCATGGAGCAGTATCGGTGGGACTACGACCGCGGCGCCAAGGTGCGGATTCCGAACGTGTTCAAACTGAAGGTTAAGTTCGGGGCCTCCTCGCTGGGCATGGAGCAGATAATTGACGGCTTAGACCACCCGTTGCGCCGCGCTTCGGGTCTCTCCGTCGCCGGCCAACCTACGCTTCAGGAAGGGGCCGCCCAGCCGCCGAGGCGGCTTCTCTACAACGAGAGGACCGAGGAAGAGCGCCAGTGGAAGGGCGGCGGCAAGGGGCAGGCCCAGGGGCAGGCCAAAGGCGCAAAGGGCGGCAAGGGCGGCAAGGGAACCCAGGGGGTGCTTCAGGGCCGAGGTGGCGGCGGCGGCAAAGGCAAGGGCAAGGGCAAGAAGGGGAAGAAAGGCAGGGCGGCCGCCAAGGCAGCTGCGGCACCTGGGGGGGCAGCCCCGGCGGCGGGTGCAGCCCCGGCGGCGGGTGTAGCTCCCGGGGCAGCGGGCGGAGCGGGCGCGGGCGGGGCGGGTGGAGCAGGCGGCGGGGCCGCCGCGGCCGGCAACGCCGGCGACGCGATGGCTGACTAAGGGGTCACCCCACAGGCCCGCCCCCGGATACAGGGCCCGACGGGGGCGGGTAGTCGAGCCATGGGCCGTGCATGGAGCCATGAATTCGCAGGACAGATCGTGCTTTCTTGTTTTTGTTGTGCCCACCCTTGTGTGATCTGCACGGAGTCTCCTATTGTTTTTGTGTGATCGAATGTGTGTGAGTGTGGGCAGGGAAGGGCGGGTGGGTGGTGGGTGGACGGAGGAATGGTGGTGTCGTCCCATGCTGTGTACATCCCAATTGCGAGGGCGGGAGAGCCCTCTGGTAGTCTCTCCCCCCGCTGTGCCATCCAGGAGAGCCAATTGCGAGGGCGGGAGAGCCCATGCTGTGTACATCCCAACTGCGGCGCTGGACCCTCGACTGCTCTCCCCCCGCTCTGCCACCCAGTCCGCAGGGGCACCCCCCTTCCAATCACCATTGGGCTTCCCGACTCTTTCCAGGTTCCGCCCCGTTCCCCCTGCCCTTTTCCGCTTTGCCCTTCTCCCTTCTCCCCCCTCCCCCTCTTTCCCCCCCCTCCCTCCCTCCCCTTCTTCCCCCCTCTTCTCTCTCCCCTCTCCCTGCCTCCCTTCTCCGTCCCCCTCCCTCCCCTCTTCCTCCGAGCCCAGGTGCTTTCCGGACGGCGCCCTATCCTCGCCTTCCGTCGTCGTCCTCTCCTCCCACCCCCCGTCAGGATTTTTTAAAGGTCGACCGGCCGTCCCTGGGCCACATCGTGGCCGCACTCAGGGACACGGTGACGGTGACGGTGACGGTGAAGGGAAGAGGGAGGAGGGGGAGGAGGAGAAGAGGAGAAGGAAGGAACGCGGGGCGCTGTCTCTTCCAAACGAGGGCCCAACACCACAGGATAGATGGGAATTGAATAGTTGCTCGTTTGAGCTCTACTAGAGTTACCCATCCAACTAATCATATGAACCACAGTACGTCTATACGTAACCATACCTATACGACCACCCTTCGGGTGATAAGGAGGTTGTGGGGGGCGAGAGGGGGGTACCAACATCTGACTCAATCGATCCCACGATCGATCTCACTCAACGGGACACCACGGGACGCTTGTCGATCTCACTATCGATCTCACTTTCGGTCTCACTCGTCGGGACACCACGGGACACCACGGGCCACCACGGGACACCACGGGACACCACTGGACACTTGCCGATCTCCTTATCGGTCTCAATATCGATCTTATTATCGGTCTCACTCAGCGGGACACCATAGGACACCACGGGACACCTCGAGACACCACATCGATCTCACTATCGATCTCACGATCGATCTCACTATCGATCTCACTCAACGGGACATTACTGGACACCTCGGGACACCTGTCGATCTCATTATCGATCTCATTATGGATCTCACTCAGCAGGACAGCACGGGACACCACGAGACACCACATCGATCTCAGTATGGATCTCATTATCGATCTCACTCAACGGGACACCACTGGACACTTGTCGATCTCCTCATCGATCTCACTATCGATCTCACTCAACGGGACACCATAGGACACCACGGGGCACTTGTCGATCTCATCATCGATCTCACTTAACGGGACACCACGGGACACCACGGGACACCGCGGGAGATTTCTCGATCTCATTATCGGTCTCACTATCGATCTCACTAAGATCTCACTCACCAGGACACCATAGGACACCACGGGACACCTCGGGACACCACATCGATCTCACTATCGATCTCACGATCGATCTCACTCAACGGGCACCTGTCGATCTCACTATCGATCTCACTCAGCGGGGCACCACGGGACTCCACGGGGCACCACATCGATCTCAGTATGGATCTCACTATTGATCTCACTCAACGGGACACCACGGGACACGTGTCGATCTTCTTATCGATCTCATTATCGATCTCATTCAACGGGACACAACGGGGCACCACGGGACTCCACGGGGCACCACATCGATCTCAGTATGGATCTCATTATCGATCTCACTTAACGGGACACCACGGGCCACCACGGGACACCACGGGACACCGCGGGACACTTCTCGATCTCACTATCGGTCTCACTATCGATCTCACTATCGATCCCATTCAGCGGGACACCATAGGACACCACGGGACACCTCGGGACACCACATCGATCTCACTATCGATCTCACGATCGATCTCACGGGACACCGCGGGACACCACGGGACAACTCGGGGCACCACACTGATCTCAGTATCGATCTCACTATCGATCTCACTATCGATCTCACACAACGGGACACCACGGGACACCAGCGGGACACCGCGCGGGACACCGCGCGCGGCACCGGCCATCGTTGGAGAAACATTTGGTCTGGCCGCGGCCCTGCCACAGGAGGATTTCGGGACACCAGCGAGACACCGGCGGGACACCACGCGGCACCCGCCGCGGGAGGAGTTACATTTGGCCTGGCCGCGGCCCAGCCACATGAGGATTTCCTCTCGCCCGCCCACGTTGCTTCGCCTCGCCCGCACGCACGCACGGCACGCACGACACGAACCCGAAACCGAAATCCATTTCCCGGCGGTAGGGGGGGTCTCCGTTTCACGTCGGACTCACCCCCCAACCTCCGATCACGAGCAACATACGGGCGAATTGGAAATTATGCCACTATCAGCAAATGAAGTCGTCCTGACCGAAGTTCCACTGCCCCCAATCGCCCTTGGAGTCCCTCGGGTGGTGAATGAATCTGACCAAGGTGTCGGAGCCGAAACGCTTACGGTAACGACTCTGCAAACCAGTATGAGCTGACGTTACCTGCCATTTGCCACACCCACAATTCAAGATATGGGCATGCGGATCCGAGATGGTGGTGCAGGCGATGTCGGTGGGCCCGCGGCGGAGGCGCGCTCCCCTCAGCAGAACTACAGCCTTCTGCCTGCATGCCTCACTGATCTCCACCGCTCGACTACTCTGCACAAGAGTCGTATCATAGTAAACAAAAACGTAAGAAGGTAGTACATGGGTGCTGCGAACCACGCGCCGCGGCGGAGGGCACCTTATATGCAGGGAAAGTGTGGCACGGGGTATGTAGGAAACACACATTCCTGCAGCCGCACAGGGTGTGTGAGGGGACTTGGGCCAGGGCGGCTGGAGGAGGAGGAGGAGGAGGAAGAGGAGGAGGAGGAGGAGCCGAAAGGCCAAAGGTCTCTTGGATGCCTCCTGGAGTTTCTCTAGATGTCTCTTGAGAGCTTCTGGTAGGCCTCTTTGAGCTTCCTGGGGGCCTCATGGCGGTCCTGGGGGCCTCTTGAAGCGTCTCGGGTGCCTCGGGGGAGCCCGTTCGGGCCTCTTGGGGGTCTCGTGAGAGGCTCTTAAGGGCCTCTTGGCAGTATCTTGGGGGCTTCTTGGGTCCTCCGGGGCGCCACTTGGGGCCCTCTTGGGGCACTTTTGGGGGCCTCGGGGTCCATCTTGGGGCCAGCGTGGAGGAGATCAATCAAAAGAGGGGCGGCCACCATGTGGCCAAAACCTGCGTAAAGTCAGTGATTTGTGCCTCCTCGCCGATGCCGTTCTGGACGCTCTAGCCCTTCGCCGCCCCACCCTCCAGACCCAGGGGTAGACCCTTTTCCCCGAAGGGGAAGAATGGGGGTTGGAAGAGGAAGCGCTCTAAACCGCTCGCGCCCAGAGGGCAGCTGGGTTTGGCCCCCCCCCCCCTGGGAGGCCAAAATGTGGCCAAAACTTTGGTAGCATAAGTGGTTGCTACCTTTTCGCCGAGGCCTCTTGGGGGCCTCTTGGGGCCTCCTGGGCCAGGGGCAACCCCAACTCCAGGACCTGGGATCGCGTGCGTACGTACCAAGTGCGCGGGGAGGGGGACGGATCACAATACCCAGCTCGAGGCCCTCGTGCTCGGCGACACCGGCAGAGAGAGGGAGCGCCGTGCGCGGCGCACAAGCGTGCGCCTGCCGACGCGCCTTGGGCGTGCGGCTCCTGCCTGCCCCCCCCCCAAGGAGCTCTGCGGCCGCCTCCTCCCCAATGAGGCGCGCGCAGCACGTCGGCGCCCCGCCGCGCGTGCGGCGCCCGGCGCGGCTGGCGCAGGCAGCACCCCCCCCCCGACGGCGGCCTGCGCCTTCGGTGCGGCCTTCGGCCGTCGGCGGGGCCTCTCGCGGGAGCCCCCTCGGCGCGTTGCTTGTGGGGGGGTGATCGTTCTCCTCCACGCAGGTCGGGCGTCTGGATCTTTGTCACGGTGTCCCCAGGTACCCCGACCCTCTCCCAAGGGCAACTTGTTCCCCCACCATCCTGAGGTGTTGGGCCCTCGTTTTGAAGAGACAGCGCCCTGCGTCCCTCCTCCTCCTCCTCCTCCTCCTCCTCCTCCTCCTCCTCCTCCTCCTCCTCTCAAGCCTTCTGGCTCACAGCCGCGCGGCCTGCCGCGCGCTGGGGCCGCCTGCGATACGCGCACCGTCGCGGGGTGGCGGGAAGGGCCCGCCGCCACCGCGGCCCGCGGCTTGAGGGGAGCCTCCGAGGAGGCTCCAGAAGCTATCGCAGCAAGACGACGACGACGGCCAGCTGGCCGTGAGGCCCATGGGCCGAGGCGGCAGGAGTTTCACAGTGCGGTGCCGCCCTGGCGCTCGGCCGCCGCATGGCGCTCGCCCAGCGCGCATCGCCAGGAGCAGCAGCCAGTCCCACCGAGGCGAGTACCTGGTGTGCCCACAGTGCCCAGCGGGGGAGAGCCGGGTATGGGCCAGGCAGGCGGGCACGCCAGGGTGGTAGGGCTGCACAAAGTGCGACCACGTGTGCCCCGCGGCGGCGCTGGTGGTGGGCGCCCTCCCGAGCGACGGCCCCCTCCTCTCGGTGCTCAGCGGGCTGGCCTTCGCGGTGCAGCACGACCTCTTCACGCGGCCGACCGAGACGCTCAGCGTCTTCAGCGGCTCAGCCACCCGCGAGGGAGCCTACCAGTGCGCGGCGGCGATCGTCGCCCCCAAGCCCGTGCGCGCGGCTGTCGCGGAGGCGGCCACGCGCGCCGGCCCGCGCTCGCCGGCGCCCTCGACGCCGGCGGCGGTGCGCAAGCGCCCGGCGGCAAGGCCAGCCTAGTGCGGGGAGTCCGACGACAGCGTCATCGCCGGCCTCGAGGTTCTCGGGCTGGAGTTCGTGCCGGAGGCGCTCCTCGCCCTCCAGCGGGCGGCGCTACTGGCCCAGGCCCTGTTCGCCCCGCTCACCCTCGGCGAGCACGAGAAGCGCATCCTCTGGGCCGCGGAGAAGGCCATGCTCCAGCCGCCCCACTCCGCCCGCCACGGAGGCGCCAGCTCCGCCGTGCACCTCGGCCTGCTGGACTTGAAGATGATCCAGAAGAGGGGCAGGTGGCTGGCGCCACGCAGTGTCAAGCGCCACGAGAAGTCGGGCAAGCTTCTCAGGCAAGTGGCAGCGGTCCGCAGCAGGACCCCAGAGGGCGAGATGCTTCTCCTGCCATACAGCCCACAGTCGCTCAAGAAGCAGGTGCTTGCCGCTGCCAACTCAGTCCGTCGCCTGAGGGCGCGGGCCCAGGCGTGGAGATGAAATTTCCCGACCCGCCCACCCTGTGAAACGAAATTAAAGATTTGGCTGTGTTGGAGTGTGCTCGAGCTGCTGTCTTCCCTCGTTGGCTAGGCTAAGGGCCGCTCCGGACGACGGCGGTGAATATTGACGTTCGTCTTCTTGCGTTTTTTCTTGGCCTGCTCGGGCCAGCGCGCGCGAGAACCTCGAGAGAAAATGTGAGAAGTTGGTGATTGATCAGTTGTTTCGAGTCTTGTCTTTGTTTTAAGGCTACCGCCAGTTCCGATGTCTCGTGAGCTGGCGCCGCATGGTTTCCTCTAGCTTCACAGCAAGATGTGCTGCCAACGGTTGTATTTCCTTTGCGGGAGGGGGTGGCTCCGTGGCCGCCCCGCCCATCCCGCATTGTGTGGCGGTTCCGTTCAATGCGCCTTCGGATTGTGCTCGAGCTGCTGTCTTACTTTGGCGCTGGCTCCAGGCCGCTCCAAACGACAGTGTGCACACTGCTGTTGATCATGTTGCGCTTCTTCCTGGTCTGCTCGGGCCAGTTCGCGCGTCACTTTCAAAAGAATATGTGAGAAGTTGGTGATTGATCAGCTTTTGGAGTATTGTTTTTTGCTTGGAGGATGTTGCCAGTTCCGATATCTTGTGGGCTGGCGTCGCAATGTCCCCGCTAGCTCCGCATACATGCATACTCATTGAATATGCAATGTATATTTGTCTATATCTATATATGTATACATATGTATAGTATACATATCTTTATAAACACATACATTTGCACACATATAGAATCCTTCATCGCCCCTCTCCTTCACTCCTCTTGTACGTTATTTGTCCCCCTTCTTTCCTACTCCCTCCGTCGGCTTCCTCCCGTCACCCCTTCCTCCTCCGTCTCTGCCCGAACCCCGTCGAAACTGACCCCCGAGTCCCTGGCATGCACCATCCGGACACGTTTTCCGAGCCGCGCCCAGGCGTGTTAATGAGCGGGCGATGATGGGGGGGCCTTACCAGAGCCGCCAACATGGCCGATGATGATGGTGGTGGTAAAGTTGTTTGCGATGACGATGACGAGGGTTACCGTGCTGAGGGTGGGCGATGCCGCCCGTCGCCTCCGTCGCCGTCGCCGCCGCTCGGGGCGAGTGGCGGTTTTTGCGGGCGGTGCCGCCCGTCGCCGCCGCCGCCATCGCATATATTGCACCACATAGATTGAACCGCATAGACTGCTTTGCACAGGTTGCACCGCATAGTTTGCACCACGTTGATCGCACCACATACATTGCATCTCATAGGTTGCATTACGTAGGCTGCGCCGCGTATATTGGGCCACATCGACTGCACCGCACCTATTGCATCACATAGGCTGCATCGCGTAAACTGCACCACGTAGATTGCATCGCATAGGGTGCATTGCATAACTTTCACTGCGTAGCTTGTACCACTTAGATCGCACCACACATATCTTGCACCGCGTATCTTGCATTACGTAGGTTGCAACGCGTAGATTGCGCCACTTATATTGCACCGCATCTATTGCATACACAGGTGGCATTGCATACGTTGCATCACATAGATTGCACCGCGCAGGCTGCAATAACCCACTGTTTGGGGTCCACGCTGGCTGACATTCCTGATCTCGGGGATGAGGGAGAAGGATGGGGTTCAGCAGGAGGGTGAAGGAGGATAAGGAACACCAGAAAGAGGGAGGAGGAGGACGCGTGCTGACGATGCTGATGATACTGGTACGATGATGACGCTGATTATGATGGGGATGACGATGATGGTGATGATGATGATGATGTTGATGCTGTTGCTGTTGCTGTTGCTGATGCTGCTGATACTAGTGCTGATTATGATGATGGTGATGGTGTTTGGGATGGTGGTAGTACTGATGGTCATGCTGATGTTGTTGATGATGCTGTTGCTGATGCTCATGCTCATGCTGATGCTGATTGATTATGGTCCTTATTATGATGACGGTGATGATGGCGGGGATGGTGGTAATCGTGGTGGTCATGATGATGATGATGTTAATGCTGATGTTGATGCCGTTGCTGATGCTGATGCTGATTAGGCTGTTGCTGATTGTAATGATGATGCTGATGCTGCTGCTGCTGCTGAGGATGATGATGATGATGATGATGATGATGAGGATGATGATGATGGGGATGGTGGTAGTAGTAGTGTTGATGATGTTGGTGATGATGATTGCGGATGTTGATGGCGATGCTGATGATGACGATGATGATGTTTGTGTTGGTGATGGTGATGATGAGGATGAGGATGAGGATGAGGATGATTCGGATGGCGTCCAATGATGATGCTGATGCTGATGATGATAATGCTGATGACACGAAACGACTATGTTGATGATGGTGGTTATGATGGCGATGGTGGTGATAATGATGATGGTGAAGATGGCGAGTATGATGATATTGCTGATGCTGATGCCGATGCGGGTGATGATGATATTGATGATGATGATGATGATGATGATGATGTTGATGATGATGATGATGCTGATGATGATGCTGATGATGATGATGATGATGATGATGATGATGATGATGATGATGATGATGATGCGGATGATGATAATAAGGAGGAAGAGGAGGATGATGAATGTTTTGGTGGTGGTGATGATGCTGTGAACGAGGCGGATAGGGACGGGGGAAGGGGGGAGGGGGAGGAATAGGGAGGAGGAGGAGGAGGAGGAGGAGGAGGAGGAGGATCGGCAGAGCCCTGGAGGCGCGGCGCCCTCGGGTCCCTCTGGGAGCTCGAGCAGCGGCGCCGGCGCCAGCGGCGCCAGCGACGCGGCGAAGATCCGGGAGGTCGGGCCGCCCTGACGCCGCGCCGTTGTGGTCGCCGTCGATGTCGTCGTTTTCGTCGCTGTCGTGGTCGTCGCCGTCGACCGTCGACGTGGGCGTAGGAGGTGGATGGGCAGGAAGAGGGGGTGAATGAGTAGAGGAGCAGGAGCAGGGAAGGAAGAGGAGGAGTACGACGAGGAGGAGGAGGAAGAGGAGGATCGCACGCCACCGAGGGAGAGAGAGAGAGGGAGAGAGTTCGACGGTCAACAATAAACCAGGGGGGGTCCATCGGAGAGGAACCTTTTTGTCACCCTGGCAGGAAGGCCAAAGACCTGCCAGGGGCCAAGACAGGACCGCCCCTGGGAAAAAGTTTCACCGTCCATGTTTTCGTCGGGCAGGTCTGCCTGCTCCTTCTGCCGAAGTCGGGTCCCCAGGCTTCTTGCCTCAGGCTCGTTGAGGCCGAACGCCTGCAGGCAGTCAGCCAAACATAAGTCTCGCCCTGCCGCAAGCCGCGGAGCAGCCACGCCCCGCTCTCCTCCTGGCTGGGCCCCAGACTCATCGAAGCCTTCCGAGGAAAGCACCCGAGCCAGGACCCCAGGGGACACCCAGGGGCCTAGCCAAAGAGGGCGGTTCGGATGCTTGCCCTTGAAAAACGCACGCTTGTTTTTCCGCCCAGGGTCAACAAGGGCCACCTGGGAACCCAGGCAACCAGACCTGAGGCCTCGCGCCCCAGGGGCAATGGTCGCATACGCTCCACAAGTGGAGCAAAACAGCAGCGGGGCCTGGCCATCTGACAGCACTGGGAACTCCAGAAGATGATGGCCTCCTTCGGCCCACGGGACCTGAGCTGCATCGGCAGCTTGACTGGAAATCCAAGTTGGCCCCCAAAGCGGGGGGTGGTGTGCCCCTATACGGACACAAACAGAGCTTGGTTCCTCCTGGAGACTGCAACTCTCCGCCCAACTAGCCTGTGCGACACAGTGGGGTGCTCATAATCTGCCGAGACAAAGTGCGCCTTGACCGAAATCGCAGTGCCCCCAGATGTGTCACGCTCATTGTCGACTGTCTTGGCCGCCGCCGCGAACGATGACTGATCGCCCGCCTGGTAGGCCCAAGACCGAGGCCCTGCAACCTCCGGCATCTCCAGGCGGCGCTCTTGAAAAAGGACAGCATCGAAGCCATCCTTTTTGACTTCCTTGGGCCGCTCCAGGTGCTTGGGGCCCGTGGGCCAGGCGTTGGAGTTTTACGAGAGCATCCTGAGCTCAGTCTGGCCGTCGAACTCAGAGGGCGCACTTGCACCGCCCACGGTCTCCACGAGAGCCGATGGCCCACCTTGCGAAGTCGAAGCCGAAAAAGAAAACAGCCCAGCAGGCGCCCATGCGCCGCCTGCCCGGGAGGGGTCGCTCGACGGCCCTGGGGCTGCAATCCTCCGTTCACCAGCGGCCCAAGGCGGAGGTTGAGCAGGGGGGGAGGCATCGGCCGCCCGCGTGTCTGCGGCTTCCTTCGAAAGCTCGCTACCCTCTCCCTTTAGGGTCTGCCCAGGCACAGGGCCTTTAGGCTCCCCAAGGACGGCTGCGCGCCCCAAAAAGGCCGCTCTCCTTCGGCGGTCCAGCAGCGCGCGGAAAATGTCGATGACGCTCTACAATTGGGCCCAGTGGTGCTCAGCAAACGGTTGCCAGACCGCGTGCGCCAACGGCCGCATCATGGCGATGGACTTGTTGCGCCGACCCCTGCCTCGGGCCCAGGCCGAGAGGCGCACTTCGCGAACGGCTTCGTCGATGAAACCTCCAGGGCTATCACGACGCACTGGACTGTGCCTCAGCAAAAAAAGCTTGCATGAGCACTGCATTCCCAGGCTGACGTAGTACTTCATGGAGCCACGCCTCACACCAATCCATCGAAGACGGCATGTCTAAATAGGTATGCCCCTACAGGTTACAGATCCAACGAGCGCTCCAGCCAGACATCATGATGACGAAGTCCCTTCTGGCTTGGTCAGGATCTGGCCGCGGTGGGGGGAACATGTGTGGCGGCGGTAAGCCCATGAACTTGTCAGAGTCAAACACGCTTCTGGGCCGCGCGCTGTCGGGCCGCTGCCACCGCTGCCGCCGTTTGCTCTGCCGCGGGAGATCCACCTCCCGCGCCTGCTGCTGCATTGCCGCCTCCGCTGGCTGCGCCAGGGGTGCGTCGGCGTCGGCAGAAGACTGGCCAGGAGGAACAGCACCGCCAGCAGAGTGTGCTGGAGCGGCCGCCGCCTGGGCGCCCCCAGCCTCGGCCCCTGGGGGGGCGGGGCGCAGCGCTGGCTCCTCTCGCCGCGGCCGCTTTGAGGCAAGGCGCCCCCGCATCTCTCGGGGCTCCTGGCGCAGGGTCTGGATCTTCTCTGCGCTGGGGCCGATCGCCGACAGGATGGCCGCACGGATCTCCTTGCCCACATTGGTCTTAATCTCCTACCAGCGCTGCTTGTCCGACTCCTCAACCTCCAAATCCGACAGATCGAGAAGGTCTCCGTCGACGATGTCGACCGTGCCCGCCCTCCTCCACGTGGAGCAAGTGGGACATATTGATCTACGAGCCGCTTGCAGGTGCAGCAGGCGACGCGGCCGACGCCGAGCTCGGGGGCCGACCGCTTCCAGCCCGATCGGGCTCCAGCTGCAGCTCCGCCTGCCACTCCAAGTTGGCCTGCGCCGCCGACTCAGCTGCCTGCGCCGTGGCCGCACGGCACTCTTCGAACCACAGCTTGGCTTCGTCCTCCTGGGCCACGCACTGCTCAAGGTACGCTCCGGCTCAGCGGCACGCCGCGCTCTTGGCCGAGACCTGGGCCTCCAGCAGCGGTGGCCGCGCAGGCTTGACCTCCTGCGGCGGCCCCTTGGGCCCAATGGCGCACTCCAGCGCCTGGAGCTCCTGCGCAGCCGCCGAGCCCGCAAGCCGCTCCTTGAGCTGCGCCAGGAGGTCGACCGTCTTGAGGCCGCCATCCACCGCAGGCGCGCCCCGCGGCGGAGGCGTGGAGGAGGAGAGCGACTACGAGGAGGTGGACGAGGAGGAGGAGGAGGACGAGGACCACGACTTCGAGGAGCCGGATGAGGAGTATGGTCATTGCGGAGGGCGGGGGCGAGGGCGGGGGCGAGGCAGGGCCGAGTGGGTCCCGTGACGGTTGCAATCTTGCACGAATGTGAGACCCGGCGGCGAGGACCTGCCAGCCCAGAGCGGGGCCCAATTAACGAGTGTTGGCGCGCAGGTTCAGTTGTGCACATGGCCCTGAGTCCTTGGCGGAGGGCATTTTTCGACATCAGCTGGGGAATTGCTGGCATGGCCTCTTTCCTACGACCCTTGTCGTTTTGGCATAACGTTTCGGACACAGCTGTGTGCAGAACATAATGGCCCTCCCCCTCTCCGTGCGGGGTGTTCTGGCGCTTATCCTGCATTTCGCCCGTTTTCGATCATCGACCAGTTTCGGGTAGGAAGAGGAGGAGGAGGAGGAGGAGGACTAGGACGAGTGGAATGAAAAACAGCAGGAGAAGGTGTAAGAGGAGGAACGGGGAGGAGGAGCAGGGAGGAGGATTGAGTTTCGTAAGCTTCGTTGGGGCAATGTTTGTGGCCTCTTTGGAGCCCTCTGGGAGCGTCCAGTGACTTCTCGAGACTTGTGGAGGGCGGGATGATAAGGATCCGCAGGAACCATGTATACACCACCAGCGTGCCTGGCCATGGCCATCGTGGGCCCGAGGATGGTACATGGCCCTCCTTGGCCTCGGCCAGGAGGGCGCGTGCTCCATGCGAGGGCTCGGGGTGGCCCTGGCCGCGCAAGGTGGTTGTGCATGGATGCCTTTGCGCATACTGTTTTTCAATGACCTCTGGGACGCCCTCTGAGATGCCCCTCGCAGGCCAAGCCCTTCCAAGAGGCCCCTACGTTCTCAGAAGGTCGCCCCCCCCTTCGCCCTGTCCCCTTTGCGCTGTGCTGCCCTTGTTTGTGCATTTATCGGGAACTGCGTCTCGCGTTCAAGTGGTGATCTCCGCAGCCATTTGGGCCCAGAAGACGGTTGGATCACGGATCCGTTCTGTCGGCGCGTCCTTTCCTTTTTCTCCCCCCCCCGCTTTCGTCCCACTCCGTGTCCTGGCCTTGCTTCCCCCCTCGCCCTTCACAACGATGATGGGGTCCGTGCATTTGCTCACCTATTGCTGGTTTCTCCATGATATTCTACAGCTCTGTTTCTCGATTGTGAAGGCGGTGCGATGCCACTCATTGTGCGGGCTGATAGGGCACGATTTGTTGAGGGTTTCGTTTTCTTCGAAACCAACGTTACTAATGAGGCTGGTGATAGTGGCCATGATGGTGATGGCGATGGTGACAACCAGTGATGATGGTTCTGATGATGATGATGATGATGATGATGATGATGATGATCACGATGACGATGATGTTGATGTTGATGTTGATGGTAGTGATGATGAATGGTGATGGCGATGATCGTGGTAGGGATGGTTAGCGCCCAATGCGCAGCTTGGCCCTGCTTCCCAAACCTCTAGCGGAACAGGCTCCAACATTTTGCCAGGCACAGGGCAGCCAGGTCCACTTCTTGCTGGAGCGGCACTGCCAGCAACGTGCGCGGCGATGAGCGACAGGGCACACTGTCCAAGCCAATCTGGTCTCTATGACCAGCAGCGAATCGGGTATCTATGACCAGCAGGGGCGAGCACCCCGGGACGGCCACGGTGACTCCACGGAAACCCTTATGCGTGTCCCCCGAGAGCCCGATCGGGTCTCTCCCGCAGGCTATGCTCCCGGGAGCGCACGCGGGCAGTGTGTGGTCGGCAGGCCGCCGCGGCGTGCCCTCGCCGCGAGCGAGCTGCAGGCCGTGCAGGGCCAGGGCAGACCCGGCACCGGTGGCGGAAGGGAGGCCACGCGCGGCCTCTGCCGACGGCACCTCGCCTTGCCTCGGGCGGGCTCTCGGCAGAGGTGGGCGCCGTGGCGGGCGGGCGCTCGGCCGTCTCGCGCCGTTTTTGCGCGGTGGCTCGGGCCTCGGCTCGCAGGCGTTCTGAGATCGCGCCAGGGAGGCCCGCGTCCTCCTGGGGCCTTCGACTTGCTCCCGCCATGATGGTGTTCCAACTGTGACCATGGCAATGCTGATGAGGTCGGTGACTACGACTCTGACGATGATGATGATGATGATGATGATGATGATGATGATGATGATGATGATGATCACGTCATGATGCATAATATGATGCTGATGATGCTGATGCTGATGAAGAACATGATGCTGATGCTGATGACGATGATGATGCTGGTGGTGGTGATGGTGGTGGTGTGCTGATGCCGATCATGATGATGATGATGTTTATGATCTTGATGATGATGATGGTGGTGGTGGTGGTGATGCTGATGAAGTGTGGGATGGTCATGATGATCATGATCATGATGTTGGTGGTGGTGGTGATGGTGAATGTGATGGTGGTGGTGCCCATGATGAGGATCGTTTGGATGATGATGATGATGAGGAGGAGGAGGATGTTGATGATGATGAATATTATGAGGAGGGTGAGGATGAGGACGGTGGTGATGCTGATATTGTATATGATGGCGTTTAATATTTTTTGTATGATGATGGTTATGATGATGAGAATGAGGTTGATGATGCTGCTGATGATGATGACATCAATGCTGATACTGATGCTGCTGATGATGCTGATGATGATGATGATGCTGATGATGACGTGGTGGTGCTGCTGCTGCTGGTGACGTCTGAAGCCTGATGCTTGATTCATGATTCCTAATGCCCGATTCGTGATGTCTGATGTCTGATCGCTGATGCCTGGTACCGATGCTGAATGACAGGAAAAGGACAGAAGAAGGCCGCGCGCAGACGGCGCATCGGCAGAACATGACAGATTGCGAAGGACATTGAAAAATCAAGCGAGGACTGTGCCGCGCTGAATGCAAACGCGACGGAACGAAGCCACTGCGTATTGCAATGGTGGGCGGCGGGAGGAATTTCACCAGCACGACGGCAGGCAGGAGGGAGGGGAGGAATGAGGGGGACTGGGGGGAGGGGGGAAGGGGAGAAGGAACGAACAACTTCAAAATATACACTTGCAATCAAAATGCTTGGCAATAGCGTCGAACTGTTGCCTCCCACTGCGATCTGGGAGAGTTCAACAGATCCTGAAAGATATCGGCTTCGTCTCCTGCTAAGCTCAAGGCGCACGCACGCCCGTGCATATACGCCGCCCGCTGCAGACGGGGACTTCCGCGCCTTCGAGGGGTATGCCACTCCCTGGGTAACATGCTGTGGGCACGTCTTTCCTCAAACACCATACGCCCAGGCAGAGTGTTCGGGCTGGCTCTTGTCAACTGATCGTGAACATCCAGTTGCTATTGCATTGGGTCAACTGAAAGATGGCGGGCGCCTACGAGTGACCTCACTTCTGCATGACTCACTCGGGAGATGAAGACCAGATGGGTTTTGTGAATCTTTACCAGACAACGCGATTGGAACCCATCGAGCTTGCCCCGGTCAGCAGCCAGCAGCAGGCATGATTCCAAACCAAAGGGCAATTTGGAGAAGATACGCGCTTCCAAAAATTGTATCTTCAATTGCCAGGTTACGTTCGCGTGGTTCCTACAGCACTGAGCAGTTGACAGGCATTTTTGGCTTCCCCAAGGCGTCTTGTCAATCTTGCCTAGGGAATTCCGTCTACGCTTGTCTAGCCGCCCAAATCTATAGCGTGATTTTTGCATCAAATGGGTTCCCATCCGGGCCCGAGAATAATTGATGAATACCTAATTCGTAGAAGTACGGTCTTTCCCTCGTTGAGCTCCAAACCGAATGGTTTTCCGACTTTGGTCACGGTATTGAGGTGAAGTTGGAGACGTTCCCCGTCTTCAGATCTCAACATTGTGTCGTCAGCGTTTAAACTATCTTTTGTGATGACGTAAGGTCTCCAGCATCGTTCCGGCATGTCTGTGTTCATCTCGACGACCGCGGCTCACATCAACACCGACATCACGATGACGAACGGCTAAGGAAATAGTGTGCAGTCTTGCGCTATACCTGCATTCCGTGGTCGCCGAGAGGACTTGACATGCCCTTTTTTGACAACTAATTTACGTGCTGTCTATATTGCCTCGACCATATCAGTCATAGGTACGGAAATCCCAAATGAGGCGTGTAGTAAACTCTTAAGCTTATCCGGTCATGTTGACAACTCCCCATGCTTATCCTCCAGCGTGGCGTCGACAAGTCGGCGAGCCAATAAGAGCCCATTAGCATCTGCTGTGCGGCGTCTTGGTCTGAAACAATATCGTGACTCCCGCAGGCGCTGTTCTATTCCTCTGGTCTTGAGCCTGTGCAGCAACATGCTCGACAATATTTTGTACCCAACGGTCTGGAGAGAAATATGGCGATAATTGTGTGGCTGTGATGTGTCTCCCTTATGAAAACCGTCACGATTATAGCCTCCCACCATATTCTGGAATGTGTTTCGGTTGCCAGCACCTGTCGCAGAGCTCTCTGATTATCTCCAAGGCGTAGTTGTTTGACCATAACACTTGCCGCACATCTGGAGGAACGCCATCGTCCACGCTGTTCTCTTGGTTCGCAGAACCTTGATTACCCGGCGTACTTCTTCCAGCGTGACGGGTCCAGTATTGATGTGTATGTGTGCCACATGGTTTTCGGAATCAGGGATATGTTCGGGGCCCTCGTGTAATCTCCAATGTTTTTCTTACAAATAATTTGCCAGTGTCTCTGATTTCGTCTCTGTGTCCACAAAGTTCCCGTGCTTGTCAAGTAAGCGGCCGTGACGTGCTTGTTTCTTGCGGATGGAGCGAACAGTTTGCAAACCTCCATGTTAGATCGCTTCGTCCAGCCAGCGCTTCTGATCAGCGCGCGCAGATACTTGTACTTGCTTGTTGAACTCCTGTATATCTTCGCGATTGCCCCGCATTCGTGCAGCGCTTTCTTGCTCAATCAAAAATGAAGTCCGCGATGATATCCAAGGCCTGTGCGGCGTGGCGGCAAGGAGCGGCACGTGATCGGAAGCAGAATCCACCATGCATTGGGCGATCGTTGTTGCTTTGTTCTGTAATGAATGGCAAGTTTGCTTACTCCCCAAATTTTTGATGAAGATGTCAACGTATTTCTTGGCGATTGGCTCGCTTTGCAAAGACCTCCCATCGTGGCGCGCTGGTCGCCGGGTACGTTCATCGATAGGTATCTCAACGTTCACATCCACAACGCGTACAAAATGATGAGATTGCAGGGCCTGCGTCCGGTCTTTCCAGATATGTTGGAGATTGGAGAGCCATGTGTTGTCTACGCGGTCAAGTTGTTCGAACGTGACCGGCACGATTGGATTCATGGGGCTTGGTGCCGATGTCAGAAAACGTAGCATTGTGATCCATCGGAGTTTCGAAAAACGTGTTCGCGATGCATGCGTCTGTCGACATAAAATGTTCGAGATGGAATTCTCTGTTCAGGAATGGGCTCAATTCGCTCACCTTATTGCAAAACACATATTCTCCCATTGCCGTGTCCTCGCCAGCGAACTTGTCCAAAAGTTTGGCATTGGAATCTCCGCGCTACAGTGTCGGCCCGTGGGACCATCAATGGAAGTCTATCTAAGTATGTGCAAGGAATTATTCTGTATGGCGTAGCCGTTCAAGCATAGTCGGATTAGTGTACACCGCCTGTTGCTCGTCTACGTAAGTTGGCAACGCGATTGTCGCATTGAATATATTATTGAATGGATTGTTTTGCCCAAGGTGCAATGATGAAGCCAAATCTGGCATATTCCCGCTGATCCCCATCACACCCAGATACAATATCAAAGTATCCTTCGCATTCGAACGTATGGGAACCGCACCAATGTGTCTTTTGACGACAAAGAATTGCGATGCCCAAATCAGGCATTTGCTTGATGAGCTCGAAAAGTTGACTCGGGTTGCTCTTGGCAATGCCTTCGACATTTCATATTGCGGTCCTGCCGCACTCCATGGGCCAGCACGGGAATGTTACGCATTCGCCCACCCGAGCTCTCCCTGAAGTGCAGATGTGCCGCCGTGACCCCTAATAGGTATGCATCCCCCCCACTTCCTTCCCCGCTGCCTTTTGCTGCCTGGCCGAGCGTGTTGTTAGCGCGCGTGGTGAGCTACTCCACCTCGGAGCTCTTGGTGAGGTCATCCCAGTTGTTCCATGCTCCATCCTGAGATAAGTGCAGCATGTTGTTGGAACTGCTCGCCCTTACCACTAGGTATTGCCACCGTCAGCTCGTAATTGTCCGTGACAATCCGCACTTCGTTTTCCGAATATTTTGATTCCAATAATTGTTTCCGAAGACCGAACAAGAAGTTTTCTGGCACGCGTTTCTCGATTGGCTAATCAAGACGTGCCCACACAATGTTTGGATTCGTGACTTAACAAAGATGTTAACAAGCTTATCCCGGGCGGCGACCGTGGCAAGCTTGACAAAAGTTATGTTGTTGAATTCGCCCTTTACGAACATGCCAATGTACTCTGGCACCTGAGGCCTGCTGAAGTGTTCTGTCAGGAACGTCACGGCCGTGTCAAAATCCGGACAGTCGCCCAAGCCGCCAATGACCGCATTGTATGCCAGGTTGCCATTCTTTCTCAGGTTCGATTTCTGAGATTTCGCTCTCAGTCTCGGCGGCGAGGCTTGGTGCTGCCGCGGATGCCATTGATGGAAACCTGGTGCCAGACTGTTCCAAGATATCCATGCGCTCGGAGAGTTTCTGCACGTCGTGCTTGATCGGGTCCAGGGCCTCCTTCAGCTCGCCGGTGGATATGGTGTGCTGTTTGAAAGTTTCGATGTCTTTGTGGATGGGTGTCAGGTACTTCTTACATATGCCTTCGTTTGCGGTTATGCTGATCCCCCCGTGGCCGAACCAGATGTTGCTGTTGTTGCTTCTCCTCTCTGCTCGATTGCTGTCATGGTGATCTCCCCCATTGAAGTTCCTGCTCCCCCTGTCGGTGTCGAGAACATCCATTTCGTACAGAGGGCTCTGTGTGTACGATGATGCTTGGATAACGGTCTGACTGGTGTACCAGGCTATAGTGCATCGCTATCGCCAGAAGAAGCCATCAGATGTGTAGGACGCGGGAAGCAAAACAAACATTTCGAGAAATGATAAACGGTGTGTGACAAGCGAAGCATTTGAGCAATTGAGCACTTGAGCATTTGAGCCACTTGAGATGTAGACGGGGGTGGAGGATAAGTAATATGAGAATGAGACGTAGCAGCAGCTGCACCAGCAGTAGCAGATGCGGAACCTCCCATAGGTCTCACGAGGCCCTTGGAGGTCCCGAGAAGCCTGCAGAGGCCCCAAATCGTCCAAGACGTCAGGCATCGGTCCTCAATCCTCCATCCTCCCCTCCCTCCCCCTCCCACCCTTCTCTGCGTGATGGCGACGGCGCCCCCAGCGCCACCGCGGAGCAAGGGTGCCGAGTTTGTGCTGGCCGGCGCCTCCGCCTGCGCCGCGATCACATTGATCAACCCGGTGGATGTTGTCAAGACCCGGTTGCAGCTCCAGGTTTGGAGTCACAAACGGGCATCAGCTTTTGCACGCCAGGCGTTTTTGTCCAGCTTCGAGGCCTCTGGACCTCGAAAAAGAGACAGCACCATAAACCAAAACTCTCGGACCTTCACACATCGATCCGCCTCGAGAAGTGCCGCAGAAAAATGGGGCCGAGTGCTCCAGCCATGATTTGTCACAATGGCATATTTTTTAGCGACGTCGGCTCTCAGGGTCGGCGTTGCAGATCAGGGGTACCAACTATTTGGAAAGGATGGAGTCACAACCCTCCCAGACGAGCCTCTTCAGACGCCCCCCGTCGGGGGCCCCCTCTGGACCTTCTGCCGAGACCTCTGTCAGCCGTTCAGAGCAGTTGTTACAATGACTCCCTCATATCAGACCCTTCCTCCATTTATGAAATCTTAGACATCCGGCGCTTCGAACAAATCGAGGGGGCTGGTCTGCTGCCGTTCTGGGCATATTGTGATTGGTCTCGAGCCACAGGACTGTGAAGAGCTGGCCCTGGTGGAAGAGATCGAGCCGCCTTGGGGCCCACGCGTCGAGCACATCGAAGCGCTGCATGTCTTGGGTATGGACCACCTCACTGGCCCTGTCTGGGCCGATCCTGGGCCCTGGATCGGTTTACATGCCTCCCTCGCCAAGCCCGAAGGGCGCACCCACACCGACAACTCGAGTATGTTCCAGTCCCCCAGGTCCCGGACCTTCTGACACCCTCCCTATGTCCGTTATCCCTCGTCGTTCTTTTGCCGGTCCCTGGTCCTGAAAGTTGCTTCAGGAGACCAAGGTCCCGATACCTTCGAATACCAAGCAAGTACATGTGCAGAAGTACTCAGAGGGGCTCCCGTAGCGTGCTACGCGCGCCAACGGAGGGGTCTAGCGCCAACTCAAGAAAGCCTCGCGGACCTCCAAAAGTTTGTGTGTTATGCAGTTGTTGATTTTGTTCAGATTCAAATGCCCATCGCTCGTTGAAGGGAGGCATTTCTGGATTCCGAGGTTCCAATATACTTTACGTGCCACCCTTTTCGGTAATCGCATGGTTCCCCCTCCTGCCCTTCAGGGGCCGAGTGGACTCCCAGTCTGCTTTCAACGTTCTCTCGTACAGTCAGCCCGCATGGTAAGGATGGGCAACCTTCGCAGAGGGAATCCTTGCATCCTTCCCTCCTCGGTCCATCCTTGGCCACTTTCGTTGGCCGCGCCCCGCTCGAAAAGCTTCGAGACGGCCTTCCGAGGCCCTTGCATCCTTATCGCACATCCTTGCTATACGCGTTGACTGTATCATCATCCCATATCATCATCGAGATCATCGTCGGGAGTCACGGGCGTCCCTCGGTGCCTCAGGCTTGCTCGAGGCGGCCGTTCTGCCGCCACTTCTTTGGCCTCTGGCGGCCACTGCCTGCTCGGGACGAGTTGCTGGCCCTTAGAATGGCGTCGACGAGAATATAGACGTCAGGGGTAACGATAGGGGGGGAGCGGGATAGGGGGGGAATGCATGGACCCCCAATCGCCCATGGATCGCCGATAGGTGCCCGATAGCCCCAACCAGCCCAGGAACGTGCGGATTCACTATCGGGGGCCGATCGCCGATCTATCGGCGATGTATCGCCGATTTCAGGTCGGTGTTTCCCGCCCCTTATGCTCTGCTTATCCCCCTCTATCATCTGCCCCTCAAGACGTACGGGTGGTTCTGGAAAGATCGCGTGCGATGTGGTGCCCCCGGCCTGCTTATACGAGTTGACTGCACTTCGTGCTTCTCGCCGCCTCTGCCGAACCGTGGGCATGCGCACGCGCAGGCACGCACTGGTCCTGGGCCTGGGATGGGCTTGGCCAGGAGGGGGAGGAAGATAAGTAGGAGGAGGAGGAGGAGGAGGAGGAGGAGGAGGAATTGGAGGAATTGGAGGAGGAGGAGTAGTAGGTGGAGTAGGAATTGGAGTTTCCCCCCCTCCCCCCGAGTCGAGTCCAGGGCGAGCTGGCCGAGCGGGGCGCGGGCCCGGGCGGCGCCGCGTACCGCGGCGTCGCGCAGGCGCTCTGGAGGATAGGCGCGCCTCTCCTCGAGCTCGTGGCCCCTCCATGCCTCCCTCTTCCCTGAAACCTCGAGCCTCGATCCTCCCTCCCTCCCTCACTTTCTCTCCTCCTCCCCGTCTCCTCTTCTCCTCTTCTTCCTCCCCCCTCTTCGTTCCCTCCTCCCTTCCTTCTTTCTGTCCTTCCTTCCTCTTCCTTTACAATTGCATATTCTGGATACCATATTCCTCTCTCCATTGACCCTGTGTGGACATGATTCGGCCCTCTCCGCGTATTGTCTTGGTCATCTGTGACGAGGTTGCCTTTCTTCACTCTTGCGCTGGCACGATGCAGTTGTGTCGCCTACGGCACGGACGCCGTCCGGGTGTGCCTGTCGGTCTTGCTCGTCTCTGACGGTGCTGTGTGCCGACTCACGCCGAATGATAGACCTCTGCGTGTTTATGGTCGCGCCGCCGCGCCATTTTGGTTGCAAGGACTTGCTGGTCGCCACTGGGATCTCCACGCCACCGGGTTGGGAGTTTCGTGACGACGTTTCTGGCTCTTCGAGTTGCCCGCGCGCTTGCTTCGCTTGTCTCTCTTCTCTTGCTGCCTAGTCGCGGTCCGACTAGTGTTCGGACGGCTTTCGACCTGCTTCGCGCGGCCGCAGACCAACAAGTATTGTTTTGGTCACGTTATTGCTTTGGTGCTATACCATGCGAAGTTATTCGTTTTGTTGTTGTGAAATAGTGCCCTCATTGAAGCGATGGCCTCGCTTCCGCGCGTCTGGTGCTTCAATGCCTTTCTTCCGCTGCAGCGCTGCACATTTTTGGATCGGCGCTTTGCTCCTGTCGTGTAGACTTGCGCTCTGGTCCCAGCACGGGCCATTTTTCAGGACCCGAGTGGTTCTTCATCAATGTCGCCACGCTGTTTTCCCCTCCGCCGCCTTCACATGGTCATCCTGCTCCTCTTGCTTCTCACACTCCTGCTCCTGCTGCTGCTGTTCCTCCTCGTCCTCTCTCCTCCTCCTTCTCCCCTTCCTCTTTATCTTCCTCTTCCTCCTCCTCATCCTCCTTCTCTTCCGCCAAATCGCCCTCTAGTGTACGCACCCGCCTGTTCGCATCACACGATGGGGCCCTTTCTGCAGTTCCAGATCTGCTGTCACACGCGCTGGCGGACAGAGATTCAATCAGTGATATTGGAAGGAATGGGTGGGAGGGGCAGGATGTCAGATCTGGCGCGAACGCGCGTAGCTCGTTTCCCTCCCCAACCTTTCCCCCTCCCCCCCTCCGCCCTCCCCATGCAGGCACGACGGAGGGCCCCCGCGGGCTGCAGCGCGGGCTCTGCGCGGCGTGGCTGCTGCAGTTTAGCAATGTGGGCTGCCGCTTCGGATGTTACGACCTCCTCAAGCAGGGAGCCGGGACGCCCATCGTCATGCGATCGTTTTCATATTACTTGTTTTGCCGATCGGCACGGGCCCTCGCACCCCTTCCCCCCAATGGAGTAGAGTTTGGGTGATTCTGGCGCCTCTTTCAAGCAGGTGGAGTCTTCCCCATCGGGCGCACTGTTGCAAACAGTCGCCCCAAGCTGAGGTCCAGAGCCAGACAATATCCATCCCCCCCTTTCCGCCCAATGTCAGACGCCGAATACGAAAACGTTTACCCTCGTAATGGTCAGCGTCAACGTCATCACTACCACCACCACCAAATCATTACCACCATCATCAGTAGCAGCACCATGTTCTCCTCCACCACCACCATCACCACCACCACTTACAGTCAGCCCGCATGGTAAGGATGGGCAACATTCGCAGAGGGAATCCTTGCATCCTTCCCTCCTCGGTCCATCCTTGGCCACTTTCGTTGGCCGCGCCCCGCTCTAAAAGCTTCGAGACGGCCTTCCGAGGCCCTTGCATCCTTATCGCACATCCTTGCTATACGCGTTGACTGTATCATCATCCCATATCATCATCGAGATCATCGTCGGGAGTCACGGGCGTCCCTCGGTGCCTCGGGCTTGCTCGAGGCGGCCGTTCTGCCGCCACTTCTTTGGCCTCTGGCGGCCACTGCCTGCTCGGGACGAGTTGCTGGCCCTTAGAATGGCGTCGACGGGAATATAGACGTCAGGGGTAACGATAGGGGGGGAGCGGGATAGGGGGGGAATGCATGGACCCCCAATCGCCCATGGATCGCCGATAGGTGCCCGATAGCCCCAACCTGCCCAGGAACGTGCGGATTCACTATCGGGGGCCGATCGCCGATCTATCGGCGATGTATCGCCGATTTCAGGTCGGTGTTTCCCGCCCCTTATGCTCTGCTTATCCCCCTCTATCATCTGCCCCTCAAGACGTACGGGTGGTTCTGGAAAGATCGCGTGCGATGTGGTGCCCCCGGCCTGCTTTTCGACGCTGTCCCCCACCTTGGGGATAGCGTGCACAGAGGCCTTGGCAGGGGGATAGCGCGCACACGAGGGGCACTCTTCGGGGGATCGCCTCACAGGGATAGCGCCCTTGCAGGAGATCGATGACGCGCGCTATCTTTCCAACGCCAACCGGAAGCTTTTGATTCGGCGGGGGGCCTTCAGCTGGCCACGGACGGCTGGGCGCAGCTCGAGAAACTGGCCAGGATGGACCCCGGCGGCGTATCTTACCTGGATGTACGTGTGGATTTGGGGGTCGGCGCTAGACCCTCCTCCCCTGCCATCCTGTGCAGCCGCCTCCAGCGCGCTCCGGGCAACAGGGAGGGACTGGTTGTGGGGACGGCGGGGTCTGGCGTCGACCACGGAAATCCGCGCGGACCCCTGGAAGTTTGACCGAATCTGACTGTTCAGGGGCTCCTGTGAGCGGGGGTAGACGGCGAGGGGTGCTGGGGGAAGGGGGGAGGGCAGGCAGCACAGGCAGCAGCGGGGTCACGAGCAGCTGGAGCCGCAGCCATTTGCCACGCTGACCGGAGCCATGAAAAAGCCATACCTGAAAGCTGAGAGTGTGCTGTCTTCTTGGCCCCCTGTGAAGAGCGCGTTGGGCGTGAGGCCGGGCGAGTCAAGCATGCCTTCCTTGCTGGCCCTGGCGGGCTGCTCGGGCGCCGTCGCCGGCCTGGTGTCCAATCCGTTCTTCCTGCTGAAGACGCGGTTCCAGGCGGCGGGGAGCGAGGATGTCCGCCACCAGTCGGAGGGCGCTGGCTACACTTGTGCTTATCATGGCCGGGCAGACCCTGGGTCGGAAGCTGGAACACATACATTGCCAGTATTTTGAGGGTCGGGGACGACGTCGGGGTGGTGTGGTGTATACCTCTTTTGCGCCCCAAGGAAACAACGAAACATGTATACTCCAGGATCCCGTATAATTGCACCAGGATCTGCTTGCCTGTGCGAATTCCCGTGCGGGGCAGAGGCGTCGGTGTATAGAGTTCGGCCCCCTCCCGGGCCCAGGATCGGTGCACCTAAGGACGGCTCATTCTGCGTATCGATCTTGGTCCCAGGATTGGCCCGGCCAGGGTCGGCACAGGTGTAATCATACGGCCTGCCGCCCTCCGAGCCGGCACGAAACCCCGACCATCCGGGGCGCGTTCGCCGACATCGGGCGCAAGGACGGCCCGCGCGGCTACTGGCGCGGCACGTCGGCGTTCGTGCCGCGCGTCATGGCCGCCAGCTCGGTGCAGCTCGCGACATACGACGAGTGCAAGCTGCTCATCGCGCGCTTGACGGGCGCTCCCGACGGCGTGCCCACGCACTTCGGCGCCGCGATGCTGGCGGGCATCGCCGTGACCCTGGCCATGCAGCCGTTTGACATCGTGGCCGTGCGTCTGATGAACCAGAGGGTCGGGGAGCAGGGCGCTGGGGAGCTGTACTCCGGGCCCGTGGACTGCGCCGCGAAGACGCTGCGCTCGGAGGGCCCCGCGGGCCTCTTCAAGGGCACGCTGGCCAGCTACCTGAGGCTCGTCCCTCTCTCCCACCCTTGGACTGGCAGCGCCAGGGGGGGGTGACAGGCTCAAGGGGGGATGCCAATTGCCCATCGCCGAAACAATCGAGACGTTGAAATCAGGACCATTTCGGGATCATGAGGGGTCTGTTTCTAAGTCGGGCATTACCTTCCGCAGGGGGGATATTCAATAACACTGAAACAATTAGTCAGGTGACGGTTTTTCGTTCTATTACAACTATTTTTTGTATTGTTTCATCATTTTTAGTTTCTTCCAACAGCCGCCTGACATTCCCGACCTAAACCTGGTTTCTGGGCCGTTCATTGGATTGGGTAGGAGAACTTATTCGAAGCCGAGGCTCGCCGTGGTCTGAAAAGCCCGATCGTTCCTCAACGTTCCTCATGGTATCGCGATGGCTTCACGGCCCCGATAGACCATCCCGTCCAGGAACGCACGGTTTCGTTATCGGGGGCGTATCGCCCATTTGCTTGCGATGTATCACCGAATCTCGATGGTCCCCCCATGAACTGCTCCCCCTATCGTTACCCTTCGGTTGGGGAGGAGAGGAAGGTACCCCATCTCCTCCTACTCAGTCGCATCGAGGTTTTGTTTCTAAACGTTCGAGGCTTCTCGTCGTTTCGGCCTCATTCGCCTCCAACGTCTGGCCAAAGCGCACACCAGTAGTGGGCGAGTATGAAGGCCCTACAGGCCAACTCGTGCCGAAACCGTTGGGCCATTTTCGGCCCTTGGTGGCTGTTTCTGGGTCCTGGGGCCTTATCAGAGAACGGCCTTGGATGAGATAGCGGTCCCCAGGGAACGAGTCAGCAGTGATCGTGTTTGGGGAATGGTCATGCTTGGTGACTGGCCATTTCCAGGGTGCGAGTACGGCCCCCAGCTTTGGGGATCACGGACAGACGCATGTCTAGGCAGGGTGATGATGATGATGATGATGATGATGATGATGATGATGATGATGATGATGATGATGATGATGATGATGATGATGATGATGATGAGTTTGCTCTTGCAGTTATATTACTGCACGGGCGCATGGCGGGGAAAGTGAGAGGGAGTGCGACGGCTTCTTCCGCAACTGCCGGGGATCACGACCCAACACGGCTGGAGCGACGCGCCCCCCAGCATCCTTGCGCGCGGCGGGCCATACCCCTCTGCCGAGGGGTCGGTTGCTGTGCTGCAAAGGGGCGCGTCGCCTCGCAAGACCCCGGATTCCAGGGGCCCGCCCTTCGGGGTGGTGGTCGCCAGCGGGCAGGGGGCAGGGCAAGCCGCCCATCCGCCCGGGGGCAGGAGGAAACCGCCCGCGGGGCGGAGGCGACACGAGCGAGGCGGCCAGAGGGAGTATCCCAGAGGCCGCGGCGGGCGTGGCTGAAGGGGAAGTCTTGGAAACCGCACCGCCTCGCACAACGCCGCGCTCGTAGAGCGGGTTCCAACGCTGCGTCACGTGAAGCGGAATGACCGTGAAGATGGGCCGCCCTGCTTCGTTTCGCCTTCTGGTTCACAGGGGCCGCCCAACGGCCTCATGCTGATGCGGCTGGCGGCTGCTGGCGGCGCGAGCGGCGAACCACCTCCCAAAAAAAACACGAAGGCTCGTGGCAAGCCCAGGCCCGCTGAGGGTGAGGTGGTCGGTGGCGCTGGCGACGAAGAGCTTCCCCCGCGGCCCAAGCCTGTCGGCAAGGCGGTAGCTACGGCATAGGCTCGGGTGCGGCCCGAGTGCGCCGCCCAGAGCCGTGGATGGCGAGCAACCAGGAAGTGGTATGCGCCACTCTCGGGCGTGCATGACGGGGACGTGCTCGAACGCAGGAGCGAGTGTCGATGCATCGCAAGGCACTTCGCAGTCGTTGCCAGATGTCGCTCTTCCACGATCGGCGGTAAAGGGCGGGTGCTTGTTGGAGTGCGCCGTCATGGACGTAGTGAAAGGGGCGAGCGCTGCCGCGCGCCCCTCCGCGCTGCGAGGTCCTGGGGGCGACTGGCTCCTACACTTCTGCGACGGAGCGGTGGGCGACTCGTGAGGTCACGACGCCGGGCGAAGTCGGGGAGCTGGTGCGCGTCGATTCGTATCGCCTATGGCCAGACGTGGGCGCGCCAGGCTCGATGCTGCCGCTGCCAGTCGAAGGGCGCCCTACTCCGCCCCCCGGAGAGCGTGGCGAAGCACCGGGAGGTGACCCCGCGGGCGGGGCGCCATTCTTCGCTGGCGATGACGACGCCGAGGGCGGCCCCCGGACGGCGGCGCGCCGGGGGCGCGCAGGCCCGGCTTGGAGAGGCGCCTCGGGGAGCCGAGGGCGAAGCTCGGGCCCGACGCAGCGAGGAAGGAGCCGCGCAGCGCTGCCGTGGCGATGGGCGTCGGCGAGGCCCTCGCCGAGCGCGCGGCGCAGCGCCAGGCGATGGTCCCAGCGAACCCGCCCAGAGGAACATCGAAGGCCATGGCCAGGGCTGGGGCTGACGACCGCCGCCGGCGTGGAGCGCGACACCGACGAGAAAGACAGCGAGGGGCCGTGCTTTCGCCTCGCTTTCCCCCGGGCGGGCGATGGCCCTGTCATTCGCTCGTCGGCATCTGGGGCAGCTTCTGCAGTTGGCAATCGAGGAGATCGAGCGCTGCCTGAGATCCCGCAGGAAGCCCGTCTCGCGGCGCATCTCACGACAGCGACTCGCGCCGCCCATCCCCCCGAGAAGCTGGGGGGGCCGGGCCGGGGGATGCGAGCCTCCGCCGAGGTGCTCGACGCCGGGCCCCATCGGCGATCCCCCGCGGGTCGCAGTCGCGCGCGCGCGGCAGTTTACGAGCTGCGAGGTCAAGGCGAAGAGAGGCAGCCAGGCGCTGGCGTCGCAGCGCGAGCTGGCGCCCAAGTTGTCGATCGGTCTCGCAGCCCCCATCGGAGGAGATGCTCGTCGGGCAGTTGAAGCCCCCGCGGGCCAAACGCGCCGAGATCGAGGAGAAGGCTAAGAGAAGGGCGGGGAGGCCCGCCAGGGAATCGGGGGCGTCGGGCGAGGGGCCGCCCCGCCCGATGTGACCCGTCAGACGAGGCCGGCGGCGGGGGCCGTTCGAAGCGGTCCGCCAGCCCGAGCGAATTTTGCGCCCGCTGGAAGCGACGCCCAACCCGCTCGCCAGAACCAAAGAATGCCACCGCGGAAGATGCGCGGGGGGCACTCGGGCGAGGGCGTCGAGGCGGGCGAGGCAGCGCCCGGGGCAGGCAGCGACGCTGAAATCGAAAGCTCAGCCGAGGCCGAAGACGGATGAGGCGCGCCAATCAGGCCCGGCGGGCAAGGGGGGGGCAGGATCGAAGTCGGGGCCGTCGTCCTTCGCGCCGTTCCCGCCGCCGCAGCCCGCGCCTGGGGCGGCGCTGCTCGCGCCGGGGGATCGGGCTCAAGCCGCAGCAGGCGCGTCGCCAGGCGGGAAGTCGGATGCGCTGAGAGCCCACGCGCAGCCGCCGCAGCTGCCTCGGCGCCGGTCGTCGGGCAGCGGCGGCTCGACGCCGCAGGAGGGCTGCTGGATGGGCTGAGGCAGGCGACGCGCGCCGCGACCCCCGCCATCCTGGAGGCGAAGGTCGAGGCGAGCGAGAGGACGCACTTGCCGCTGCCATTGCCCAGCGCAGGAGAGCACATCGAGGCCCTTCTCAAGCGCCAGAATTTTCCCAAGTGCGACGCATGGGTGCGAGGCGAGGAGAGGCGCGCCTTCCGTTGGAAGTCCGTGCCAGGGCTGCCGCCCGCGGAGCGCCGCGGGGACTTGGGGGCGGCCACTTACTGCAGGAAGGCGGCGCGCCAGGCTCTCCAGGACGAGGCCCAGTTCATCTTGCCGCTCGCGGGGCGACCCAAGGTTGACCAGGCCGCGGCGCATTGCGACGACGAGGAGTGGGACTGCATCGCTGGTCGATTGCTGGACCGCGGCATCCTGGCGGAGATCGAGGAGGCCCGCGCCCTTGCGATCTACGGGGAACGCCCGGGCAACGGCGCTTTCGGCGTCGCCGAGAGCGGGGGCGCGCCCAACGGGCGCAGCCACCAGCGGCGCCTGATCGCTAACCACACGCCGACGCACGCTGGGCAGACTTGTCATGGGGGACGTCGACAAGCTGCCTCCGCTGGGGGAATGCACCCAGGCTGTGCTGATGGACGACGAGGTGGCCCTTTTATCGGGAATGACATCTCGGGGTGGTTCCACCAGCGCGCGCGGCCGCCCCAGTGGTCGCGGTGGTTCGCCTTGTCTGAAGCCTCGGCGCAGGTGGGTCAGCAAGACGGAGTGCGAGAATCTGCGCGTCTGCGCATGAGTCACTCTGACGGGGTGGTCGTCGGCCGTCGGAGTGGCGCAGCACGTGCGCAGACAGATCGCCGCGGACGGTATGCCTGCCAGCGCTCGTATGGCTGCCAGCCTGGAACGGCGGCGAGACCGGCCCCTCCCTGTCCGCGAGGGGGCCACCCAGAGGAGGCAGCGGAACACGTGCGGTGACGACTCGGAGGATGCCGAATTCGTCGAGACATCCGAGTTGGCAAGCGCCCCAGGGGGCGCTCTCTGAGCACCAGGCCGCGCTGCGGCGAGCACTCGAAACGACGTCGGCGCCCGCCTCGCGCAGGAGGGGGGTCGTCCGCTCCACGCGTGCACTGCGCTAAGGGGTGGGCGTCGATGGCCTTGGGGGCCGAGCCGCGCCGCCCATCGAGTGGCTCCTGGAGCACGGGGCACGCGCGGCGTGGTTCTTGGACCAGAAGGACTCCTGTCTCGTTCAGATGCAGGCTCTGCGCGCTCGCTGGGCGTTAAACTTCACTTGCAGGCGCCAGGCGTGAAGTTGCCTCGACGAGGCGCGCCGGTGGATCGGCAGGAGAGTCTGACATTCGAGTCGGGCTGGGCTCGGCGGACGCATTCGAGATGAGCTCGTCACGTGCGCGATGAGTGCCCCGTCGCTGGCTGCAAACGCGCGACGGCCGCTCGACGGCGGGCCGATTGCGACGGGCACCTCGGGGAAGGGCGGCGGCATCTCTGCCGGGGCCGCCCGCGCTGCTGAGGGCGTCGCTG